GCAAATGATCTGCAAAGTTATTGGTACTAGTGTACCATTTTGGACCTCATAACTGCGTTATATAAAAATTGTTCTCTGTTGATCTTATTCCGTGGTTAATATTAGATGAGTTCCTCTGTAAGGTGACAGTGAAAAAAAGTATTCTTAGATGTATATCCCATAATTACAATTGTTAAGTCCTTTCCCTTTTTGTTACAGAATTCAATAAAACATTTAAAAAACAAAACATCCAGGAGTCACCAGCAAATTAAAAATGGGACTTGAGGTCTGGTACCTGGATTGGTGAAGAGGATAGAAGAGTATTCTTTTGCCTCCTCAGTAGCTGCCCTATTATAACAGGTAAAATTATTTGCCCCTTTAGCCTGGCATTATTTACGCTGAATAGCAGCAGCCCTCCAGGGCCTATTTTCCCCATCTGATCCTTTAAAATAGACATACCAGGGATTTGAACCTCTAACCTCCTGCTCTCAAAGTATGTGCACTAACATTAGCCGTCTGCCACGCACCCCACCCTGGCAACATGCTGCTGTGTGTAGGATCTAGCTACCTCACTTTCTTCAAGGATGCCAAGCATTTTCCTGTTTCTCTTTTCTCCTCACTTCGATATATACCGTATTTTTCGCTCTATAAGACACACCAGACCATAAGGCGCACCTAGATTTTGGAGGAGGAAAACAAGAAAAAAATATTCTGAATCCCTGAAGCCAGAACAGCAAGAGGGATCTGGCTTCTGGGATAGCCTCTGGCTGTTCTGGCTTCTGGGATAGCTGTGCCAAGCCTCTCCTGGGCAGCCGGATGAAGGCTTCCCCAGCCCAGAAGAGGCTGCGCGCGGCTAAGGCAGAAGCCAGGAGAGGCGCTTCGCTGAAGGGGCGCTGCGTAGCTCTCCCTCTCTGTGCAGCGCCCCTTAAGCGAAGCGGGAGGAGGAACAGAAGGAGCCCCTTCTGTTACTCCTCCCGCTTCGCAGGACAGGCGCATCGCTGAAGGGGCGCTGCGCAGTTCTCCCTCTCTGCGCAGCGCCCTTCGCTCCATAAGACGCACTCACACTTCCCCTTATTTTTTAGGAGGAAAAAAGTGTGTCTTATGGAGCAAAAAATACGGTAATTTCCTTCTGGAAAGAAAAGTGATTTCTCAAGTTTTTGCAAGTGTTGCATGGAATGTGCAAGTGCCACTCAGTGTGTGTGTGTGTGTGTGTGCGCGCACGTGCGTGCATAGCGGGGGGGGGAGTAGAAACTGTGACATCACTAACAGGGGGCCATCTTAATGTTTCGCCATCAGAAGCAACAAGGCCTTTAACAGTGTGACACTTCAGCTCTCTCTAGCTCAAGTACCTGCAACTGCATTTGCTTAAATTCATCCCTCTCCTTGTTGCCTTCCTTGCTGTCAAATATATATGTAAGCTCCTTGGTGTCAGCGACCTGCATTATTATCATTAAGACCTGTAATGCACATCAATAGTGCCTTATGAAATAATCTCCTGCACCTATTATTATTATTATTATTATTATTATTATTATTATTCATGAAGTCTGCCATTTTACACAATACCCTCAGCATCCTAAAGAGAATCAAATACAAACACCAAAGTTTATTGTCAACCATCAAATATACAAAAAAAATACATATGACACATACATGTGTGAGCACATGTCAAATCCTGTTTAACAACTGTACAAAAGAAGGAGGGGGGAGCGAGAAGGAGAGTGAGAAAGTGACCGGTGGTCTAATTATGCCCTCAGGCTTGATCACAGTGTTTTACAACTTGAACATCATTGCTTCCATCCCCTCACCGACTTCTGTTTAGTCTCCTCCCTCAGAGGGGTTTGGGTTCCCTTGGCAACAGGACAATTTGATAGCAGCTTTATATGTTATAGTTTTAGTGGGTATATCTTGCAAGAGTGGTGTGTACTGACATGACACTAACAGCTCCACATACACTGTGGAGAGCTAGTGTATGTGGCTCCAAATAATGTTATAATGGGATGAAATTGAGGGTTGCAATGGATGACCTCAGGGTCCCTTCAGGCCCTGTGATGCTTGCTTGTAAGAGTGAGGTATGCCAAACTGGTTGGACTAGCATGGCTGCTGCTAATGACTCTGGTAATGTAGTCAAGAACCCTTAATGGAGAACCTTGTTAGGGAGATAGCTCTGTGTAGCTGGAGTCTTCCGGAAGAAAGAGCCATTCGTGAAGCAGGTCTTGCCTTCTCCCATGGGGTAATTCTGTACCTATGCGGAATATAAACAGTCCTAACTGTGACTCAGCTATACAGCTGCAAATAAAATGTTTGAAGTGTGTTTTAAGTGCGATATACACTAAATGGCGATGGTGAGCCTTATGGAAAATTCAATGTAGTTTTTAAAACACTTTTTTTTTTAAAAAAAAAAAGCATTTTCAGAACTTTTTTTTATATGTGTGTAGATTCCACCCCAGTCAGAACATAGAGGGCTGAGCTGTTCTCCACTAAATCCCAGTGGTGTTGGCAGTTTCTCTGGAAATCTGATGGGGAGCAGCAAACTCTGGAGATCTGTTGATGGGTTCAGTTCTGTGAATCTCCACCTATGCTCCATCTGAATATATGTGTAAATAAAACATATATCACAAACTACCAATAAGTCTCTAGCGGCCTCTTTCTGAAGGAAACAAAATCCAGCAATGCTTCACCCCTGGATTTCTCAACATTTGGAGAGTAGTAGGTTTCTGTGGCTTATACTGTATCTACCCTACATGTAACAGGAGGCAAGTGGTTATATGCTAGATCAAAGATATAACCTCCTCCAAATGTTGTTAGGCTAGATGTTGTTAGCTCAGTTGGTTAGAGTGTGGTGCTGATAACACGAAGGAAGCAGGTTCAATCCCTGCAGGTAGGGGACAGCTACATATTCCTGAATTGCAAGGCGTTAGACTAGTAGATTCTCAGGGTCTCTTCCAACTCTATGAACTTCTGGAGGAGCACCACCACATTGGCTATTCTGGTTCTAGATCTACTTTGCCCATTAAAAGTGCAACATATAAAGCAGTCCTTAAAGGAGGAGCCAGAAATCTATGAAACGACTTTGTCCGCTCTGCCTTCCCTCACCCCTTTTGTTCAGAGAGAGAGAGAGAGAGAGAGAGAGAGAGAGAGAGAGAGAGAGAGAAAGATCCAACGTGTTGTATCACCAGTCATGGCAAGTGGTAAGTTTAAGGTGAGGGAGGAAGCAAAACACGACACAAGCAATCACAAGATCCCCAAAGGAAAGCAAAATAACTCACAGGTGCAGTTATCAGTGGGTTCACAGGTTTCAAAACCATTGTAATATATCAGGCACTCAAAAGGCATACAGACTTCCCCAGCTACTACATTTCTGACCCGTGGCTAACCAGCCACCCTTCCAATCTCTTCCCAACGTCTTCTTTTCCACTAGAGTAGTGAAGACTCTCTCGTCAGCTGCTCCAAGAGTTATCGTAAGTCCCTCCCCCTAAGTGGCACATTGAGAATGTGGGGGGGGGGGGAATGGTGGGGATCAGAACAGGAAAAAAGAACACAGCTAGATTAACTGCACAGACGTGGCCTCCCATCTCAGAATATGGCCTGTTCAAGGCTGACGCGCACACAGCATTTTCTTTTACAGGGTTCACACAAGGGGTGAAGGGTTATCACAGATACATCCAGCAACAAGTCACGTGGTCACCAGAGAAGCTTGAAAAAGAATCATGGCAGTCCATGGGTATTCCAGTTTGACGCTTGTCAACTAACCACTTAAAAAAACACCCAAATCCTAGCCTGGGTAGCTTTTAAGAACAGTTTTAAGTCTAGTTTCCAGAAAAGCAAATTGCAAGGCTGTTTCTGCCTGCTCTGCTGCTGCTAGTAGCATTTCTTCTCGTGAAACTGTGCATCTTAAATGATGCAATGCCTTCTGTGCTTAGCACTATCCCTGGGGCCAGCAAAAACCACTGGCTAAGTGCAGGCAACACTACAAAATTCACGTTACATTTATCTGTGAATGTGTGCTGGGAGAACAATTCAACCAGGCCTTGGCAGATTAACAGTCTATGTCCTTTTAAATGTGTTTGGAGGAGAGGGGTTATTGGTTTGTTTTGCTCTTGTTCTTTATTTTATTTTATTTTTATATTATTATTATTTATTATATATATACCACCCTTCATCCGAAGATCTCAGGGCAGTTCACAAGAGAAATGTATTATGTGCTTTGTGGTTTTAGTCTGTATTTTTATGCTGCGTTTTACAAATTTGATTAATACAAATTTATTTCATTTAAATTTAAATAATTAATAACAAAACAATTGGGCCTGTGGATTTGTGTGATCAAATCCATGTTTTATTTATGCGGCAATTGCTTCTTTTGACTGGTGGTACTACTGAATAATCATGCATAGGATTGTACTGTAAATACCAAGTGGTCCATGATATGCAGAGATTGGGCTGGGAGCAGCAGGATACTCTGCAAGCACTTGGGTCACTTACATCATTGCTGTTTAAGCCACAGAGGAGGAGGCACACACGGTTACCGACTCAGGATGAGAAAGGCTCGCCTTAATGAATTCAAAAACAGAAGAAATATTTTGACCTTAAATGTAAACATTGCAACAGGTTGAAGGAAAAAACCAGGGAGGGAAGGAGGGAGGCAAGCTTCTTCTTCAATGCATGCTTTATGCTTGACTTGGGAAATACTTAAGTATCCACATAATTGTGACAATCTGGAAGAAGGGAAAGAGTCTTGAGGGTGCTTCCCAACCACTGCTATTTGGGGGAGGCATTCACAGAGTGGCATATTCAGGCTATGCACCTAAAGCTGATTCACCTGCTTCTTGGAAAAGTAGGACTGGAAAGTGTGGAAACATGTGACATCGTGTGACCTCCCCACAAACAAATCAGAATGGATCTTCAAACATGGTTTTATGTTCTTCATACTTGCGTTCTAATCTCTCATGGTGAGAAGCCAAAGGGAGCATTTGCTATTGCTCTTTCTGGGAAAGAGACTGGGGAGGAGATGGGAGTTATGAAATAATTGAGCAATGTCTAGTCCAGAGCTTTCCAGACTTTTCATGTTGGTGACACACTTTTTAGACATGCATCGTTTCGCAACACAGTAGTTCAGTTTTACCAGCAAATTAGAGGTTTAACTAACCCCTTTCCAGCCCCGGGAGGAGTGGAGGGAGCGGTTGCGTGACACACCTGCACACTGCAGCCGACACACTAATGTGTCGCAACGCACAGTTTGGAAAGCTCTTGTCTAGTCTCTACTACTCATTCCCCATTTGAGTGCTTTAAGTCAATGCACCGCAAGCATTGGAGAAAGTATGTCATGAGCATCTAAACTAATATCTAGAAAGCCAAAACGTAGATGCTGATCATTCTTCTGGTTTGATACTTTCCTCTCTTATTCTGCTACTCCTTTTCTCTCGTTTTCTGCCACCACTTATCTCTCTCTTTCTCTGCCTAAGGTCCAGCAGCCTGGATCTAATTGAAACCTCTGCTCAACACAGAAAATCCTAAAGTAGAGCACACCCAGCAACTGGCCATCTAGCCTCTGCTTTCACAGCGAGGAGGAGTCTTTATGGTTCCTTTCTTGAGCAGGGACATTGGATTGTCAGGAAGTGATCCTGCTGTGACCTGTTGGCTGTTCTTCTTCTCATTTACCAGAAGGCTTATAACTGTTGGAAGCAATCTACAAGGGGTCAGCAGCAGGAGAGTCGACCTGCTCATACAATTTTGTGTTGCCTAATCCATTAAGAAGCTGTGTAGCATTAGAGCTCATTCGTGCATGCAAGTCCATTGTTTGATTATTACGGCCACATTGACACTATACATTTAAAGGACTGTGATGCCACTTTAAATAGTCATGCCTTCCCGCAAAAGAATTCTGGGAGCTGTAGTTTGGGGGGAGCCGTGGCTGTTTTAAATGTATGGTGTGCATGTGGCCTTCATCGCCAAATAATAGTGACTTGCCTGGGTAGAGCAGTCATCACAGATCAAAAAGACAGTGAGACTTCCCTATCATATCACACATCTCTTCCAACACCATGCTTTTGAATGGAAGCCATTCACATGATCAGCTGCGAGTCATCAAGTGATAACACCGTCAAGTGACAAGAAATCAAGTAAAAGAACATGCATGTGCGAATCAGCCCTTAGAGGAAGGGAAGAGATGGGAAGAGCAGCTCCCGTAGATAAAGGGTTAGGTAGGAAAGTCAGAATTTTCTGGTTGCCACTTATGCGTTGCCTCTTTAAAAGCTATAATAAAGTATAAAACAATGGATTCTTTTTTTAAAAAAAGAAAAAGCTGTTAAAAGAATTTGGAATCTTAAGTCCCATTAAAAATGAACAGAACTGTGCAAACCACACAGCATTTCAAATGGCTTCGTATCTGGGGTGGAATGTTGGATTATCGTAAGGAGAAGAGAACCCGAACCTAGAATTTAGGCCTTTGTTGAATGAAGGAATCTGTTGGCAAAGGGCTGCCTTACTAGTGAAGGCTAGAGATCAGAGGCCAGAAGGCAAAAAAGTCAGTGGAACTTCCTGGTGGTTGCATGCAAAGACTAAAGGAATATTGGCTTGTGTATTCCAAGACAATCAATGGCTTCTCATGGGCAAATACCGCCACTACCAAGCAAATTTTAAAGCCTTCAGAATCCTGCTTATCAGAACCCCCTTATCAAATCAATGATGGCACCAGCAAAATGGGAAGGGGGGGAGCAATGTTGGCAATACCAGTTCCACCAACAGTTTCCCATTCACAACACCAGCCCCTGGCCTTCATCACACTGTTGTTGGGATATGGCCTACCGCTCCTTAACACACACACACACACACACACACACACACACACACAGGCCGTCTTTTTGGAGGGCCTTGCCACTCACGGTATGAATCAGAAAGAGTTTTACTGAAACAATGAAAAAACACAGTGTCACAATTTTCTTTGAAGTTCAGAAGGTTTCCCTGTCCCTTGCACACATGCACACACTCACACACGCAGCTCTCTCCCCAGACCAATTCAGACTCCAGGATGTTTTTGTATGGGGATAAAGATCTCCCGTGCTGCCTCATTCCTTAAGTAGAATGGAGGAAGGGGAAGTAGCTTTCATGCTCCTTTGGTAGGGACAAGGACCTCTCACGCCTTCATCCTCTCCTCACAGACGTCAAAGCTCCACTTGGCTGCCCCTCCATGGACCTCAACCAGTTTTTCATCCCAGTGGATGATGTTGCCTCGCAGGTGGGCCGTGCAGTTGGCTAAGCCCAAAATCTCTGCCGGGGTCAGGACATGATCCCACATGTTGAACTGAGAAATTTCACCAACGAAGGCCTGAGTGGCATCAAATCTTCCACCCAATGCATCCTGTAGCATCGTGTTGGAGAAAAGGACAGACAAACAAAGGGAAAGCCAATAAGATAGAGAAGAAAAATATATACAAGAAATTGAATATGAGGCCTTCCATGGGCTCTGCTGAACTATGGGCCCTGCCACACTGCCAATCCTCTGCAAGTGACAACGTTGGGTCAATTGGTTTCCAAGGAGTTCAGGACCCTGTTTCATTCTCATCTTTCCTTAGCAGTATGGCACAGCAAACTATGGAATAGCTTTGCTCTCTCCCCACCCTCTGCAACTTTCTGCATGTCCAGTTTTTGCATTCAAATGCAAATTTCCAAGTGCTTCCATGCAGCAGTTTATTGTGCAAGCAATAATGCGAGCTTTGCATCACATCCACACAGCACTATCTTCTGACACAGTTTCCTGTTTAATCAAGATTCTCCACTTCTGCCCGAAATCCCCCAAGTAAAAATCAAAACAAAAATGTAGAAATTGTACATCTGGACTGAATATGGGGGCAGTGGTGGAACATAGGGTGCCATTTGGATGAGGGTGGCATCATGTGGGCGCTGCACAAAACTTGCATGCCAGAGCAGCACCAAGTTCACAATAAGCTGCCATGCAGACACATTCTTAGAATTTTAAGAAATTTCTGTGGGCATTTTTTTGGAACCACAATTCTATTAAAGACACACTGCAAATCCAAACCAGAATCCCTGTGTGGTTATAGGCTTCAAGGACAACACATGTGGCATGTCCAAGAGACCAGCTGGGGATCTCTTATACCCAAGTTGTCAAATTTTGTTCCTTTGAGCCCAAAACTTGGGCAGGTCCTTGAATTATGTTTAAGTTAACTACTGCAAAGACAATACATGGATTAGACTCACCTGCTCCTGGCCCAAGATGATCACACCATGAGGTTTGACCGGATGCCAGGATGCCAGGTTATCACCGGCCCCACGCTCCTCCCCATTTTCATATGCTGACCATATGCCATCGCGTGTGATCCAGGTCAGGCAGATGTGGTGCCACATCCCAGACTTTAGACTCATGGGCAGCTGAGCCACCTGACAACAAAACAGAAAAGTGCCTTAAAATGAACACTGCAAACAGTTTTTTGGAGGGAGTCTCCCACTGATGTATTTTAGCATCACCTTCCCCAAAACTGATGAGGAGCACATTATGTCCTTTCTTGCTGGCTGCAGAACAGGAGTGGGTGACACATGCCTTTCTCCAAGCCTCTCTCTCTTAGGCCCTTCCCCAGTCCTGGTCTATGCCATCCTTGAGTGCTCTTTCCTGAATGTGATGATTCCTCCTAGCTGGGTGGGTGGAGAGATGTGTAGGTATAAGCCTCTGATTTATACTGTTCAAAGGTAAAAAGCACATCCACTGCTCCACTCACTTTTGCCTCTAGCCCCACCCCCCACCACAGGGGCATGCAGCCCTCCAGCCTCCTGGCACCATGCCTGAAATTTGGAAGTAGTTTGAACTCTGACCCAATGGGATGCTTCAGCCTATGCTGGTCCATCATCTTCCCGGGTGACAGGGACCAGTGCGGCACCAGCATTGCTTGCAGCAACAACATGGTCACTGTCTCCTGTTCACTATGACCCTGTCTGGAAGGAAATGTACCTGCCACTGCCTCTCCCCACAATCTTGGCTGCACGTGCCAGGAGTCCTGAACCTGTGACTCTGAAAGTACTTACCAGGTGGAGTCTTGGGTTTGAACCCATTCCCTTCCACTTCATTTTAACGAGGCTGCTAAGAAGTGAGCAGGAAGGAGTCATGTATATCCAGGGCTTCCCCCCCCCCCAGCCAGAACTCACCAGAACTCAGTTCTGGCACTTCTCAGGTGGGCGCCATTGCCATTATAATAGAACAAGGGAGGTGGTGAGTTCTGGCACCTCCTTTTCTAGAAAAAATAGCACGGTATATATCTGTATCTCTCTAGATTCATTAATTACAGTTAGCTTTTGTTTTCCGAGCTAATGTCATTTTTCCTAATGGAGTGGGGCCTTTTCTCAACATAAGGAAGGTTAGTACGTGTGTCTTCCAGATGCCCATGACAAAGTCTTCCTTCCCTCCTTACCTTGTCATTGATTATCAGCTCCATGGGGTTATTTCCCCATTCCAGCAATACAAGCTCATTGGATTGTCCTGGTACTGAGTAGGAGAAAGGGGTGCCCACCCCTGCTGGGCCCTTAGATTTCAGCCACATGCAGACTGTGAAAGCATAAAGCTCAGGCAAGCTCTTCTTCATCCGCGCATACATATAGTTGTTTCGTACGGGGATGGTGACTTTGAACGCTTCTGGGTTGTTGAAGGCTGTAGTTTCTGGGTGCATAACAGAGAAATGGGGGGGGGTGTCAAGAAAGACTACAGGGACAGCAGCTGAGAAGAACAAAAGACCACAGACTCCAGAAATTCAAGTCAGGCCTTGCCAATACTGCACAACAACACCACTGCAAAAATGGGTTCCAGTTGTTATTGAACTTGGGTCATCCAATGAACCTGACCGTTCATTGACACATTGCATAATGATTGGGTAATGATTGACAGCTTGGATGGCTCAATTTGATTTGTTAGACTTGCATATTGCTTTACCTGCACACAAAAGTCTGGAAGTGATTTACAATGATTGTATAAGATCCAATAAAATATGATCAAACAGATGACACAATATGCAATATCAGCATTCCTTGCGTATATTTAACTCTCCCTGTGTTTGTTTTAAAGGGGGTTCAGCAAGTTAAGTTTGCCAGTGGCTGCTGCTTAGTTATATTATGATGACTATATGAAACCTCCAAATTCAGAGGCAGGGTGCCATTGTGTAGTTTTAACCCCTGTGTAGATTTCGGGAAACTAATGGGCTAGTTTGTCATGCTTGTCATTCATAAATTCATGTGTCTGGAATGGACTCAGGAAATACATATCTAACAGGCAATCACATATATGTAGCAACTTTGGAGCCCTTAGATTTGGCGCTCTTCCTTCCCAGGACTGACCATGCTCAAGCTCAGTGACCCGGTTCTGGAGGGCATCCAGCTCCTTCTCTACATCTTGCTGTTGCAAGTCGTGGTTGTTGGGGACAGATGGCCGGTCTTTCTCCAGAGCTAAAATCTTGGAGAGGATCTGCTCCTCCAGTTCTTCCATCTTGTTATGGATTGTCTCTTGGGCTGGCACAGGAGCAGAAGTAGCATTCATTCGGGCTGGAATATCCTGCTGCGCACAAAGGAAAGATATATGATATATGGGAAACAGTGTGTGTGTGTGTGTGTGTGTGTGTGTGTGTGTGTGTAATATCTCACACAAAAAGTATCCAGGCAAAACATGTTAACCCAGCAAGAAAAACAGGGCCATGTTCTCAGGGTGTTTCCAGGCTATTGCTGTTTTGGGGTGGGATTCTATCCATAGTTGTCAACCGTCCCTTATTTGGCGGGAAACTCCCTTATCCCAGCGCCATGTCCCACTGCTGTCACTTATTGATGATGTCCCTTAAATTTCTCAGGTTTCATGCTCGCCCGGCTCAGGAGGGAAGCAGCAGCTCGAGGTCTTCTACCACGAGAGGGAGCGTGCGCACAAGCTGCCGTGTCTCCGCCACTCCCTTTCCCCCCTCAGGGACGCGTCGTGAGGAGACGGGTGGCGGTGGGCAGGCAGGCAGCCCCTCTCTTGCGAGACTTCCACCATGCTGCCAGGGGAAGCCAGAGGCAGCGGCGGCGGCTGAGGAGGCAGCCTGAGGGAGGAGGAAGAGGAGGGGATGGGGAGGGACACAGAAGGGCAGTGCTTCAGCGGCCGCAGCGGTGCTGCAACCACCTCATGCCGGGCTCGTGGGCAGCATGGGCGAGAGTCTCTCTCCCTCCCCCCTCTCTCTCAGGCGGGGAAGGGCTGATGGAACTCCTCACGCCAGGACAACGGCAGCCCCGACGTGCTGCTTAGCGTACCCTCCAACCAGTGCAGCATCTTAATGTAGTGATTTCCCCTCTGCATCCCTTTCATAACTCTATTTTTATAAATCATTTGTCCATCCATAGTTCAAATTTTTACTACAAGTTTTCTGTCAATCCTACCAATGTATGTAACTCTTTACAATAGCTTTTCAACTAAATTATAAACTTTCCCCATTCTTTATTAAAGAGGTCCTCTTCCTGGTTTCTAATTCTGCCTGTAAGCTTTGCCATCTAGACATCGTTCATCAGCTTTGTCTGCCACTCTTCTTTGGTCGGAGTTGCAGACCCTTACGATCATCTAGTCCAACCCCCTGCAAAACACAGTCAGTCGCAGCAAAAGCAGCATGTCTCTATCAGTGCTGGACTTCTGTATAAGCTAAGCAAAATCCCTTATTTTGGCTGCTGATCCCTTATTTTCAAGGCTGCTGGTCCCTTATTTTCAAATCTGTAAGTTGACAGCTATGATTCTATCATATACTGGTAAATTTAAACTGAAGTTACCATTGATAGGGAATTCTTGTGCAACAAACCTTCTTCCCCCAAAGATCAGACTTTTTGTGATAAGGAAAGTGAAGGGGAAATGCTGCTTTGGTGCAATGTCATCTAACGTATCCTGCAAACGCACCAGAATGAATTACCAATGTCGTCTAACTTCCCTGCAAACAAATCAGGATGAATGCTCAATAATCAGGTTGTCTGGAAGTACCCTCAGAGGCCACACCCACACCGTGCATTTAAAGCACATCCAACACACATTTAAAACACATCGCTTCCCCACCCCCAAAGAATCATGGGAACTGTAGTTTGTTAAGGGTGCTGGGAATTATAGCTCTGTGAGGGAGCAGCAACCACTCGCAAGATTCTTTGGGGGAAGTTGTGTGCTTTAAATGTGTATCGAATGTGCTTTAAATGGATGGTTTGCGTCACTCAAACCAAGAACCTTTCTGTCTAGGCACTGATGCCCCTTGCGGTGAACCAGACAGGTCCAGGCTAGCCAGGTGTTTCTGAGACAGAAAACAGTCCCATCTATGAGAGAGAGAGACCCTGATTCAACCTCTGACACCCCATCTAAATGGGTCACGTAATAGCAGGTGATGAGCCAGTCCTCTGCCTGAGGTTCCCATGAGCCACAGTCAGTCAGAGAAGGCAATCCTGATCTAGATGGGCTGTTGGTCTGGCTGTACAAAATAGCTTCATACAGCTTAGAGGCTGGAGGAGGAAGAAGTTGTTGTTAATGGTTTTATTTTTAGCCGCCTTGGAAGTCAGCAACCATCACTCGAAACTCAAACAAGCTCCGTATGTCTCCCTTGAAGAGTTTTCTTATACAACATGGAACGTGTCTGTATAATGACTCTTCCTTGTCTTTCCACGGGATTCAATATGGAGAAATGAGTCAGTGGGACTCCGTTCTCTCAAAGGACACTTTTCTCGTAAAAAAGAAAGAAAGAAAGGAGCAGTCAGGCATGGAGAGAAACGGGATCACAGTTTTTCCCTAATGAGGATGAAGAAGTGTGCCTTTTTTCTGCCGCTTCGAGGCAACGCCTGTCATTTTGACATTACATAGTAGTTCTGTAATCCTCTTAGAGCTCTACGAACTGTGTGAGTCTGTGTGCTGAGAGGTCACAGCAGGTATTACACAGCTACAGCAGGGAGCAGCACCCACAGCTGGAGGCAAGTCCTCCTTATTGTCCGCCCACGCCAACCTGCCAGGGCGCTTGCGCAAAGGGAATCCCAGGTTTTAAAGCTAAAGGTTTGTGTTCTGTCCACCAGTGGCAAGTGTGATGAATTCAATGCTGTTTCCATGCTGGGATTAGGTGCATCCTTTCAACACACCCAAACTCTATCAACCTTTAAGACAAACAGCCATGCCTTTGGGTAGAAATGACCACTGTACCATTTACACTATGGCAGTGGCGTACCATGCGTTGCCAGCACCCGGGGCAAGGCAAGGATTGCACCCCCTAACCTCATTGCGGGTATCGTGCAGGAGGCAACAGGCAGACTTCGCTCACTTGCACCCCTGAAATGGCACCTCCTGTTTCTCCAAAGGCAGTCCTGGGTTGGCTGGCAAGGAAATCTGCCTGATCAGAAGGTCCTGCTTGCTTGAGAAAAGCACTGCTCTGGATCAAGTGTCATTTGTGGGAGAAAGAAAGCTTACATTTTCTGTGACTTGTAAAACCACATAGTTCACTGCCCAGAAAACACCGAGTGGTATATAAACAGACCAATGAGCAGGTAAGCAAGCTGTGCTCAGAGAGCTTATCTGAGAGTATACACACACCATATATTTGAAGGCCATTTAAAGCTCATGACTTCCCCCAAAGGATCCTGGGAACTGTAGTTTGCTAAGGGTGCTGGGGATTGTAGCCCTGTGGGGTGAACTACAGTTCCCAGAATTCTTGGGGGGGGGGAATCATGTGCTTTCAGTCTGGAGCTTGCCTTTCCTCCTGGGCTGTGCTTGGGGGTTTTGGTGGAAGAACGGAGTCAGGAAGTTCCCATGATCTAAGGAAGAGGAGAGAAGGGAGGCGTGACTCAAGTAGTCATGCAAGGCAAGGAGAGAGCAAAAGAGAAGGGATGGAGAGAAGCAAGGGAGGAGAGGCAAGGGGGAAGGGGCCTTCTCTCCTCCCCATGACATTTCACAGGCCATTAGTCATTGCCCATTCCTCATTGTTGCCATCAGGACGAACCTTAGCCTTTTTGCCAGCCTGTGGAGAGGAGAGCCGTGAAAGCCAAAAGGTTTGGGGGAGATCTCCGTCTTTGAGGACTCCCTGTTGTGCTCATTTATTACAGCGAAAGCTCATCAAAGGAAACAGGCCTATTATTCCACCACATTTCTGCCCTTTGATGAGGTGCTCCTAGAGCCCTTGCCTCCTAATTACTGCTACAGCTGCTTATCTCATCATTATTTCAGGCTGTGTTCCCTCTTATGCCAAGTGAAAAAGCAAGCAGCCCCCCCTGCCTGTAATTCCTCATAAGTTAATAGGGTACATCCATTGAGAACCGTGTTTTGTCTGTTATGGTGGTGGAGCTTTCTAAAGGGAACTCAGGTAGCAAAAGTGAGGCTCCACAAAGGAGGCGGTGAGCCTGGAGGCAGAAAAGGTTTCAGCCCACTCTGAGTAAGTTGCTCACCTGAAATGTTCAGGGGTGCTGTAACTTCTGCCCCGCCCTGCAGACTTATTGTCAAGAGGATACCCACAAAACTATTGGGTTCCCCATCTCAGCATTATTTTACCGTGCTCCTTGGATGCTCACCCTTTTGATTCTAGGAATCCAAAAATGTACACCTGAAGAAGAGGCTCCCTGGTGTGAAATGTGTATGTGAAAGACAAACTCATGCTCAGCTCTTGCACTCCCAAGTTGGCCTGAGATGAGGTCATTGCGCTAAAGGCCTCTAGATAATCACAGCTTAATTCATTACTTGGGGAGAGGCCATCTGAGAGTATGACCAGCTCAGGTGAGCTGAGCGGCAAGGAGGGAAAACGTGCTAGTTCAGAACCGGCCTGCGTTGTCAACTGTGCTTTACTTTCTCTGCCCTCGCCTCTCAATCCAGGTAACACAGTTTCCTCAGTTGCCTGTTTATCTTGCTTTTATGTAAGTGATCTGTGTCAGTCGCTTGCTGCCTTCCAGATGCTTTTATGTCTGCCCTAGTTTCCCAGCTGAACTTTCTAAATACCTTTTAGATTTGCAACTATGGATACCCGGGAAATGCTTTGTTTCATTTCTATCCTGTCCTTCTCCCTTCCGTGGGCCCAAGGCAAGTTACACATTCAATGGAACACTCTATCCATTAAAACAATGTAAGAATCGGGAATGAAGCACCATAAAACCCTTTAGTGTAGCAAAATCAAAACCATCTCAGAGGGGAAGGAGCTCCACAACTGCAGTGCAGCCATGAAGAAGGTCTTATCCTTTGTAGCTACCAACCTAATTCCTCAAGAAGGCAGTATTGGTGTCCTACCAGGGCTGTTTTAGCAGAGGGCCTGAATAATCTACATGAACATGAACATGACTGCACTGCATGATGAGGATCTTGGCTGTAGATGGTTGAGCTCTATGTTGTGGTTCACCATAGGAGCTCACTGGAAGGGGAGGGGGAAGAAGAGGAAGAAAATATCGTTATTCATTTCACATAATTTATGCTCCACTTGATTGTAAAAAACCTCAGTGGTTTACAAAGAAGAAGAAGAAGAAGAAGAAGAAGAAGAAGAAGAAGAAGAAGAAGAAGAAGAAGAGCTGGAGGACAGTGGGTGAGCCAAGGAAGTGAGGAAGTCTGGT